GGACTCAGAGCTCCCTCCTGGGGCACAACAAGGCACAGCCAATCTGTCAGCTGGACCTGAGCCCAGGGGATGATTAGGGCAAAAGGAGGAAGATCAGCACCTGAGGGAATCCAGCAGCCAGGAAGGAAGAGCCTGCAATTAGCTCAGAACCACAGAAGGAGACCAACCACAACCTGCAAAACAACAGGAAAAGAAAAGAAAACATAAACAGATCTTTACAAAAAAAAAAAAAATCAAATGCAAAATAAAATACTTTCCTGAACTAGGAGACATAGTTTTAAATTTAAAACAAATTGGAAAAGAGAATGGAGTACTGGGGAACCAAGTACAAGGGATAATGCAAAACCCAATGCAAAAATATAAAAACGCCTAGGAGAGAGAGATCCAGGAGCTGTACTATGCAAATAACGAAAATAAGAATAAATATCCCAGAAGGAAAAAAAAAGAATAGAGGAGAAGCAATCATTTTTAAAATGAGAAAGAAAATTTTCCATGGGTTGAAGAACGCATTGGGTTTGCAGATCGAAAGGCTCATTGAGTTCCAGGCAGGAATAATGGAAAAAAGACACACATCTAGGCATAGCCTGGGAACGCTCCCGATTTCCATGATTAAAGGGAAAACTCATACAAGCTTCCCAAATGAGAAAATAAGTTGCATAGAAATAAGAGAATCCGACGGAAATCATATATCTCGTTTGCAATGCTACAAGGCAGTGTGAATCATCTCCACAGGCCACGCAGAGAAAAGCACCCTTAACCAGCCCCAGTGCCATTCACCTTCCCAGGATGGAAACAATGCAAAGATTCAGAGAGAATTTCCCCACATGGGGGAAACGTGAGAAAGGAATCTGATCAGGCAGTGAATGAATCAGACTGGACACGAGAGAGGTGAAACAAAAAGGAGGCCATGGTGAGCCATGCCCCACCAAACTATGTGTCGTGAGCTCCAAATGGACAATGATAGATGAGACGGAATTGGTACTACAAGTGCTAAATAAGTATTTTCTTTTTAACAAAAGAGAGATGCAACAAGATGTATTGCTAGCCTGCAATGAAAAGTGCTGGATGATCTCAACAAGAATGTAGGTGTTGAGGAGGAGAAAGGGGGTTAGCAAAGGCATTTTATTTATTTATTTATTCATTTATTTATTCATTCATTCATTCATTCATTCATTCATTCATTCAAGACAGGGTCTCACTCTGTTGCCCAGGCTAAAGCACCATGACTGCCAGCCTAGCTCACAGCAACCTCAAACTCCTGGGCTCAAGCTATCCTGCTTCAGCCACCTGAGTAGCTGGGACTACAGGCTTACACCATAATGCACAACCAGCAAAGGCATCGTACATATCTCCTATTGGCTGGGGAAGGAGAAATAGGGAAGAGAGCCCTTTGTCGGGAGGAATTAATTGGTACCTAGTTGCCATGAAAGTTTTTGTTTTTGTTTTTATCAAAACCAAAAACGGGTCCAAGCACAGTGACTCACACCTGCAATCCTAGCACTTTGGGAGGCCAAGGGGGGGAGGATCGCTTCAGGCCAAGAGTTTGAAACCAGCCTGGCCAACAGCGAGACCCTGTCTATACAAAAAAATAAGAAGAAAATTAGCTGGGTGTGGTGGCACGAGCCTATAGTCCCACCTACTTGGGAGGCTGAGAGAGGATCACTTGAGCCCTGGAGTTAGAGGTTGCAGTGAGCTATGATGATGCCACTGCACTCTAGCCTGGGTAAAAGAGTGAGACCCTATCTCAAAAACACAAACAAAAAGAAACCAGAAAAGGCAAGGCCAGCACTAGCGGAAGACAGTAGATAGCAGAGCTTCCACAATAAGAAAGGGAAAAGAGGAATGACAGGTGTCTATTGTCATTTGTTCTAACTCTTAAATTAAGATAATTTAAAAAACCTTTCATTATGGAAACTCCTAAACACATACCAAAGAGCAAATAACATAATAAATCTCTGTGGATCCAATATTAGGGTCCAATGATTGATTTTTTTCTAAAAGCTTGGTATATATTGATGGTCACAAAACCCTATAACCTTTCAGTTTTTCTTTTTCCCAGAAATTTCATTTGGAATTTGCACACTTTTGCAAAAATCAGCACTCATCTTCATTGATCAAAAGATTTCGTCTCCTGCAGTTTTGACTCTGATCTCCAACAACTCCAAAAGTATATCTTCATAAACAGACTTACAAGGTATGCTCTCTGCTTAATACAGATTATCTCTACGGCTGATTTTTTTTTAATGACAGACAACTGGAAAAAGTCATAAAATGTTAAATCTTTCTGATTACCAAGCCTCTTTAAAAATCCTATTGTTTGCACAGAACCTTTTGTGTTCTTTAAAGAGCGATATCGACCATTACTTACCTTCACCCAATAAGGGACACACAGCTGTGAATGAATGGTCTCATTCACTCTCTGCCTCGATTTTGGTGCCATTACTTAACTCCCTGGGCGAGTTCTTGGTGGAAAAGCACAACAGACTGTGTTTGTTGTTGTTGTTGTTGTTGTTTTGAGGATAGGGTCTTGCTCTGTTGCCTGGACTAGAGTGCAGTGGCGTCATCTCAGCCTCCCAAGTAGCGGGGACTACAGGCGCAGGCCACCACGCCCAGCTAATTTTCTTTTTCTTCTTTGTCCAGACAGTGTCTCCCTGTTGCCCAGTCTGGTATCAAACTCCTGGGCTCGAGCGATCCTCCCACCTTGGCCTCCCAAAGTGCTAGGATTACAGGCCTGAGCCACTGCTCCTGGCCCAGAATGTGTTCTTAACTAATCACAGTGTCTAAGAAAGAAACCACAGCCAGCCTTGGTCAAGATATCAAAAAGTAAAGAGTAGGAAATATTTCTAAGCACAGAGATACACAAGCCAGGCAGGTGGGCAGGTGGACACCAGCCAGGTAGAGAGGGCACACAGAAATACCAGCATCGGTCAATTCATTCCCAAACATTCTTGTTTTCCTTCCTTTTTCTTTTTCCTTGGTGAAAATGTGTTTTGTTTTGTTTTTTATATTGCCATAAAGCAAATAGTAGAGTTGTGTTTTACAGTTTACATACCTGGTTTCAGTAAATTTCAAAGGCCCTGTGGTGATTCTGTTGGCTCTACATTTGCTTTCCCCTGGAACCTGGTTGGGGAGCACTGGTGCTCACTCCCTCCAGCCTCCCCCACCTGCGCAGGTGCTCCTTGGCAGCTGGACATGCACTATGGGCCAAGTTTTGCCCCCACCCTCAAGTTGCTGAGCGCCAAAGGCTGTGGTCTAGCCCTTCCTCAAAACTTCCCGCCTCCTGGCTTCATCTAACTATCCCTTCATCCTCACCCCAAATCCCAGGGGCCTCACCTCCCATTTAGCCCAAGAAGCAGAGGCCCCTCCCGGCTCTTCCAGCTCAGCACCCCACCCCTTCGGGACCTCCTCACTCTCCTCCAGCTGCCTTTGACCCTCCCACACTCCTCCACACCTCTCACCGCCCTCCACCTGTCTCAGCCCAGCCTGGCCCAGGCAGGGGCACCGCTGCCTCCTCTCTGGGTTGGGAAATGCAAATCCTAACTCACCTTCTCTGAGTCTCTTTCTGGAAACTTCTCCCTCCCTCCCTGGTCTTGGCTGGTGTCTGTCTCCCTCTATCTCCCTCCCCCCACGCCTCCTCCTGCTCCTCTGACCACATCTTTCTGGTCTCCTTCGCTGACTTCTTGTCCTTGGCTTTCACCTTAAATGTCCCTTGCTTTTTTCACAGACTCCTTTGGAGATCTTTGTGTCCCCACAGTCTTCATTTTTTTCAGTGAGTTAAGTTCTCTCCGATTTCAGATAAATGAGAAGGGCGGGTTTTGAATATTCGACTTGTTTTTGTTATGAACACTTTTTTCTTTTAGTCTTTATTTTCTCCTTCATTAGGAGCCATTCAGCCCCTTCTTCTGGGGAAGGTGACCCTCGCCAGTGTGGAGCGCAAACACCCCCCCCTTCCCAGGAATGCCAACCAGGACGGCACTTGAGTGTCTCAAGTCAGGCCCTCATGGTGAGGAACGGGTTTCTCTGTTGCTGATAATTTGGGCTCCAGATATAGCGGGCAGTCAAGGCTCTTCCTCATTGTGGGAAAAGGAGAAAAAAATGGCTTGAGGGAGGAGAGAGGGTGGGGAGGGGGAGCAAGGATGGGGCCCATGAGGGACCCAAGGCTGAAAGGGCACCTGGTGGTGTGGCAGCAACCTGGGGGGTGCCAGGCAGTGGAGCAGGGAGGGATGGCCTTGCGGGCAGCAGAGGGATGGGCCTCAGCCAGCTCCCACCCTCTGACCAGGTGCCTTCACCACCTATTGGGAGGAGGAGTCCCCAAGACCAGCCATTAGCCACTCCCCTGTGGCTCCAACAGGAGCCCTGGACACCAGTGGGGTGTGGTAGGCCCCTGACCTTGCACTGGAGGGTCACACATGCCCCAGCCCCCTGCCCCGTCCTGAGCTAGGAAGGAGCTGTAGCCCCAGGACATCCTCCTCCTCCAGGGCACCCGAAGGCACCTCCAATTCAATGTGGCCTCCCTCCAAACTTGTGCCACCCCTCTTTCCTTGTCTCAGCAAAAGGGACCCCCAAGCCAGAAACCTGCAGAGATTAGGAGAAGCACCCTAATCTCTCGGGACGCTTTCCACTCCTGTCTGTGCTGACGGACAAGGTGGGAGTTCATCTGGCAGCAGCACAGCCTCCCAACTGGCAGTGCTGCCTCATCCCCCTTCCCCTCCCCTCGTCTACCCAGGACTCCGTGGTGGGTGGGTGGCTAGGGGTCGATGGGGCCCTCAGGAGGTCACAGACACAGACAGGCAGAGGGGCAGTAAGGGGAGGGCTCGGCTCCAACTGGAGGTGGGATCGTGGCCCTGTGCCATGTGGGCAGGAATGAGACCAGCCAGGGAGGAAGATGCCCTAATCCCAGCACAGCCCTGGGGCAGGGGAGGGAAGGGAGGGGTAAAATCCCACCCGTGGGAGCCTCCTACCCATACTTTCCCAAAGGAGCCAGGGCTGCTGGCCAGCACCAGCGTAGCCAGGAATGTGGGAGCCCCTAGCTGCAGAGACTCAACCTGGGGGAGGCCCCAGAGGTCACATGGTGGGTGGCAAGAGCAGGTGGGTGGGTCCTGGGCCAAAGGAGAAGGCTGGGCTGCTCTGGAGGGGAGGGGGTCAGAAGGTCAGACCCTGGCAGGAAGCTCTTTTGAATAGATGCCAAATATATCATCTAGCCTGAGGCCCCCAGGGTGGGGGCTCATGACTCTGACCTTAGGCCTGACCTTTCTCTCCAGCCAGCTCACTGACGCCTGGCAGCTCTGCCTCCAAAATCCCCACCCTCACTATTGCCTGGATCCTGGCACCAGCCTGCCTAGTGCACCCTCCTCATGGCTACAGAGTGACCAGTCTAAAGCCCACACACGGTCTATCCATTCAGCAAACATGGGCAGGAGATGGCCCCCACAGACTGCCAGTCTGGAGGGCGACTCAGTGCAGAAACTGGCCGTGCCGATGGCATCTAGGAAGTGGTCTGGAGGGGGCTGGGGACCAAGTGTCCCCATGCACCATCTCCCCAGCCTCCCCAAGATCTCAGCCTGTACACAGCCACATCCCTCCTAAGCCCCTTCCCCCATGTCCCCCGAGCAGGGATGCTCTCTCCCCTTGTCCCTCTCCAGGCCCCTTTCTGGCCCCTCCTGGGACTTCTCCTGACTCTCACCCACCTCTGTCCCTCCCAGTCTCTGGGTGCCTTGAGCTCTGGGTGCCAGAGCCTGGGGCTGACCTGCCTGTGCTTCCAGCCCCAAGTGGGTGCCCAGCAAATGAAGGAATTAAGGCAGAGCAGGTCTGAGATGAGGGCAGTGTCTGAGTGAAGGTCAGGTTCTGCCTGTCCAAGCATGAATTTTCCATGGCAACAACCTCCCTTCTCCTCCCCCTGGAAGGGGTCACCCGCTCCTCTGCCTGTTTTGGCCTCCGCACCCACCCACCGCATGCCGGGCCCCTCTGTCACCAGCGGGTAATCCCGTGTGGTTTTTACTCTGGTGCCCATGAATAGAAGAGTTAGGGGACAGCTGGCAGAGAGCCCTTCCCAGGGCCTTGCACCCCACCCTCCATGGGTGCCTGGGCAGCTCTGCACAGCCCTGTCCTCGTCAGACCCCGAGGCCAGCACCTCCAGTGGGGAGCAGACCCAGGCCCCAGGCACTCTGGTCAACACCCACATTCCCTGAGGCCCCCCAGCTCGAGACTCAGCCTGGCCCTGGCTGTGTGGGCACAGACAATGCAGCCCCCTGCCGCGTACCGCTCGTTAAACTCTGCCCCAGTGCTGGCGTTCTGTCTCCCCTCTACTTGGCACCTTCCACACTCTTTCCCGCCCCACTGCCTCCAATTACCACCAAGGCCTAGCAGCTTTTTGTCCTGAAGGCCTCTCTTGCCCTGTTCCCCACCCTAAGTGGCTGATAGCTGCTGCAGCCACCCCACAGGTACCCCGCCTCCTGTGACTGCGCCCCACCTTGGCAACACAGGATGTTTTCATGCCAGTTCTGTACACATCACTCGCCAGCTGTAAAGTCCAGACTCTTTTTTTTTTTTTCTTTTTTAAGTAGCGTTTAATACAGGACCTAAGACAGACTCTTTACTGGGGAATCCAAGGCCCCTCTTGTCTGGCCCCTGCCAACCTCGCTTGGGATCTGGGCCACCTAGACCGCTGCAGGGTTCCCCGAATGCACTAGGCTTTCTCCTGCCTCCAGGCTGTGGATGTGCTGTACCCATCACCTGGGACATTTTCTTTCCACATGGTGAACTCTAGTGTTTCCTGTTCTGTGAAACACCCGCTATGCCCTTCTCCCAAGCCCAGGCATCCTGTCACTTTGTCCTCTGTGATCCCTTTGGCCCCTGACCATGCAGAGTATCAAGTTCATTGTCCCCCTCTCATTGTAGGTCTGTCCCCCTGTCCTGGGTCAGGTTCCCCACTAGCAGAGCCTGAGGCAAGGATCTAGGTATGGGTGATTTCTTGAGAGGGTGCTCAGGAGAAATACATAAGGGAGGGAAGAAAACAAGAGAAGAGGGGTAGAGCGAGAACGGATCTCTGGTAGAGTCTATTCGGGGCCTGATCCAGGGGCCTCTGCCACACAAACTGCACGGCTGAGCTGTCCCCCTTGAGGCAAAGAGGCTGCCTTTGTGTCCCTGGATCAGTCACTTGAGGTGGGGTGGGAGGTTCATACCTTCCCGGGGGAGATGGCTCTCACAGCAAAGGGCGATTCACAGAAGGGGCAGCTGTGAGCATTCGAGGTCACCACACTTGCTGCTGGGGAAGGGTGGGTGCACTGGCCAGGTGAAGGGGTCTGGGTGGGGTACTGACAGCATCCCCCACACTCCCTGGCCAGGGGAGCTCTGACAGATTTGTGAATAAGTGAGTAGTACAGGGATTCCTGGCCTATCCAAGCACTGACATTCCCCCAACCCACAGCTGCATGTGCTACCCTGGGAAAAGGTCCTGTCCATGGCCTCAGGGGACACAGTTGCCACTGCAGTGACTGGAGAGGAGCCCAGACATCCAACCCCCAGGAAGGACTCTGTGGAGCCCTGCCCCACACAGCAAGCATGTGCTATGTGCCTGGCTATGCGGATGGGAGCATTAGCCAATGTCCTCATCAATTCCTTATAATAACCATTTTACAGATGGGAAAACGGAGGCTCAGAGGACTGAAGTGATACCAAGGAAGTCATGCAACTTGTGGGTGGAAGAGCTGGGATTGGAACCTGGCTCTAATCACTTCCTGCCTGGTTTCTTCCCCCAGTGTGTGAACCACTTAGGGGCTAACCCCTCCTTGCCCTTGAGGGAGAGTCCAGGGTCATCTCTCTGCCCCACAACCTGGCTCAGCTAAACTGGCCGCATCTGGCATTTGCAATAGTTGGGAGGCCCATACGTGTGTTTTGCATATAATTTGCATAACGGTCGCATCTGGTTTGCATATGTCCATGTTGTGAGCCCATCTAACACTACACAATTTTTAAGTTGCTTCTGCACCATTCTCAGCCAATGAAAGTCCATCCAGGCTTTAGAGTCTAGTTTCCATGATATCTAGACTCTCTCCCAGGCCCTCAACTGGGGCTGCACATCTACCTGGTCCAGGCTCCTAGACATTTCATGCTTCTACCCAGGGGCCCAGAAGGGGTCTATGCAAACCCCTGCCCCAGAAACTCATGTGGATTTGACAGTAGCATTTTTTTGGTGGTGCAGGGATACACAAAATGCCAATGCTGATGTTGATACTGAGAAAAGAGTGAGTCTGGGCAAAGGGCCTTTCTGCATGGAACTTCCAAAGGTGGCCCTGTGTGCTGGGAGGCCTAGCTGTGCACTCTCAGGAAAGGAGCTGGGGGAGGGAGGGGGCAGGGACAAAGGGCTGGCTTGGAGTCAGGAGGCTGTACCCTAGGGCTGATCCCACCACCAGCTGGCTTCAGGGGCTGTGGTCTCTGAGCAGCAGGGCTTGTGCCAGAAAGCCAGCAGTTTCAGAGCTTTTTATTTGTCTCTTTTAGGGGAACTACATTCCTAACACTCTGTGTGGCTCTCAGTGATCTTAGTAGTGGGCCCTTGATTAAAAAGGAGAGACATATCCTGGGTGAGGTGGAAGGAACGTGGAGAGGGGAGAGGAGCCTTGGATTCTGGGATGGGCAGGGAAGGGGTATCCAGGCACGTGGGATGCCAAGTACCAGTGCTACGTGTTAGCTCTCCACAAGCACACCTAACTCTCTGCAGCTTCCAGATCCATTCTTGCAGCCTCCTTGGCCTCAGAAGCCAATTCATTCCTTCTGCCCCAGGCAGCCCGCAGAGGAAGGAGGGAAACTGCAGTGTCCCACAGAGGGTCCCCTCTCATGTCCCCCACTGTGCCACTGATGGGCTCTGAATGTAGGACTTTGCCCTCCTCCCTGCAGAGGATGTTCATCTTCCTGGCATCTTCTGCTCTTCCTAAGGAGAAAGGCAGCACACCTGTTGCCAGGGGCTGGTGAAGACAGGGAAAGTGTGTGTGTAGGGGGAGGCCAGGGAGACAGTGGTATTGGGGGGGTGCCGGGTAGGGTGTGTCTGGATGTGGCCGTGCATGTCCCTGTGAACAGAACCCGTGCTCCTGTGTGTGGCCTCTCAGCCTGTCTCCATGCAGGTGTGGAAACTCCAGTCTGAGTCAGGGGAACATGACTGTCTGCCTTCCTCCTCTGTTTCTGGCCTCCCTAGGTTTCCTGTCTGGCAGACACAAAGTGGCCTCATTGTCTACGGGGGAGACCCCAGCTCTGGCTGGATCCAGCCAGCACCCCGAGCATCTCCCTGTGCTGATGTCTTCCACCCCCACTAGAATGGGGCCCAGGTCGTGGCTCCCGAAACTGTTCCAGTTAGAGAGGGAGCCTGGTGTTTGATGTCAGCCACCTGGGAAAAGGGGAAGTGGAATCCAGCTGTCCTTTCAGCCCCCTGTTACGTGGACATTTCCAAGTTCAAACGGGGTCCAGGCTCCTCCCTGTGAGTAGTGGGCCCCACATCTGGGGGTGGGGAAGGGAGCGGGAGGAAGGGGCGAAACCCCGTGGAAAAAGACCACAGGCTCTGGGGTAGGGGAGTTTTCTCCCCGAGCCAGCTGGGCAGTGCTACCAGGCAGTCAGAGCCCAGCCCAGGGGGAGGAGCTGGGTGCTGTTCATTTCCCCCCAGATGTGTCTCACTTTCTGAGAAGTGGAAAGTCAGTGGTTACAAAATCAAGAACATGTTATGGATACAATGTATCCTGAGCATGTTATGGACACTGCAGTATCTTGCCCCCAGCAAAATGGCTGGTAACATCTCTGTTAAAAGTTGGAGAGTGTAACAGCACATTCCCTGGATTTACGGAGAGGGGGAAAGGCTGTTTTACGCATCATTTGGTTGCTGAGGTCAGAAACCCACCCAAACCAGCTCAAGTGGTGGGGTATTGGAAGCAGACAAGGGAAGCCACCGCTTGTCACCAAATGGCTACTCAGGACACTTCTCTTTGCTCCACTCTCCCTGACCACCCTCTTCCTTGCATCTCAAAGTGAGTTTGGGGAGAGGTCTCTCGTGGAGGCCTCGGAGTTCTGCCCATTCTGCACACCTGCCAGCTACTTGGGCGAAGACACGGAAGGCTGTAGCCACCTGTGTGGATGAGACAGAACCAGGAAGAAGTGCCACTCTGCTGGATGACAGAATCAGGATTCAAAAGGCTCTTTGCAGGTCAGAAAGTTAACAAGGTGATGCTGAATGAGGATGACTATAAACGCCAACTTTTGAGTTCCAAGAGTCAACTTCACAAGCAAAATACGGAGGAAGTCTGTCTTAATTGTAGCTCCTGGTGAGAAAGACCTAGAGGTCCTCTTTGACTAGATGCTAACAGTGACCCAGAGCAGTGGCCCCGCTGGCTAAGAGCTTCAGTTGCACACGGAGCGCAGAGCATTCTCCGCTGGACTGGAGAGGTGATGGGCTTTCGGGGCTCGGTGCTGCCCATATCTAAGAGAATGACATGATCCCTCCAGAGAACCCGAGGGGCAGCCTGGCCACCAGACTAGTGGTTAGTACAGTGGTTACAACGCCTGAGGAAGGGACAGCAGAGTTATCAGAGGTCCTGGGCACCCCTAGACAAAGGCGGTGCTAGGAGGCAGAGCTAGCCAACAGGGACGGTCCAGGACCTGTCCCAGGGAGGTGGCTGCAGAAGTGGTGCTCCCAAAGATGTCATCCGGGCTCCAGAGCCCCGGACTGCAGTCCCCAGACGCACACAGACTTTTAAGATCAGCGCATCCTTCGAGTGGGCGGCTCCTGTGGAGTCCCGCGTCCAGCCGCCTCGGAGCTTCGCTTCTCAGCTCCTCGTCCGGTGCTCGAGGGCGACAGTAGTGGCTGGGTGTGTTCTGGGGGCCTCCCGGAGCGTGGCGGCCTGCGCCCCTGCCACCCAGACAGCTCCCTCGTGACCTCTTGCTCGCAGGCGGCCCCCGGGGCGTCAGCTCCGAGCTGGGGCGGGGGGCTGGCGGCCGAGAGCGGCGCGGCCCCGAGTTTATGCTAATCCGCGCAGAGCCCGCCTCCCGCCTCCCCTCGGCGGCCCCAGCCGCGAGCAGCGCCGGCCACTCCGCGGGACGCAGCCGCCGCGAAGCGCCAGGCGACCGGGCCAGAGAGCTCGGGGGGCCGCGAGCCGCGGCGGCGGGACCCGGACGGGCGAGTGGCGGGGGCGACGCAGCGCTGCGGGTGGACACCGGCGAGGGCACCGCACGGGGCCTGGCGGAGCCGCGGGAGCCGCGATGGGCCGCCGCCGCCTGCACGTCTGGCTGTGCGCCGTCGCGGCGCTGCTCTCGGGGGCGCAGGCCAGGGGCACCCCGCTCCTGGCGCGGCCTGCGCCGCCCGGCGCCTCCCGCTACAGTCTCTACACGACGGGATGGCGCCCGCGGCTGCGCCCGGGGTCGCACAAGTAAGCGCGGGCAGGGCGCGGGCGGGAAGAGGGAGGGAGGGAAGGGGCCGCGCGGCGCGCCGCCGCTCCCACCTGCCCCGACCCAGCGGGGGCGTCGAGGCCCGGGGCCCCGGGGTGGCGGCACGGAGGGGGCGGCGCCCGGGGACGAGCCCCTGCCCAGGCGGTCGCCCAGCGCTCCGGGAGGCTGCGGGGCTGGCGAAGGAAAATAAGCCGAGGGGGCCTGGCGCGGGGCTGGGATCCTGGCAGTGCCCGCGGAAACCTTTCCAGAGAAGTAACATTTTCCAGCTGCGCTGTGTGCAAACTCCCGGCGCAGCGGACCAGGTGGAGGGAGAGGAGGAAGGGCGGTCCGCGCAAAGCACGCGGGCTCCCCGCGCCAGGCCTCCCATCCCTCCCCTGCCCGGCCAGGTAGGAGATGGAGCGGTGCACCCTCCTGCAGTCAGCCCAGTCCTGCAACCCCTGGGACGCCCACCGCGGCCCGGCTGCAGAGCTGGTGGGGGAATCTGGGTCCTGGACCCGTGTTGCGAAACAGCCGTCGCAGCGGTCGGCTCCAGCCAGGCAGCCACCTTGGCCCTTGCGGCTTGTCCGCGAGTGCAGCCCCAGCCTCTGCCTCAGCGTCTGGTCTTCAGTAGGCGGTGGCTTGCGAACTGGCCTTAGTCAGGCGGGGTAGAGGCTCTGCCTGCGGTGCTAGCTTGATTTGAACTCTAGCTGAATTTCAGAGGTGTGGTAGGAGAGTGCCCAGCCCACCGCCCACGCTCAGTAGGCTTCCGCACATCAGAGCAGGCTTCCTGGAGGAGGTGGTGCAAGAACTGGCTGAGGAAAGGAGCAAAGGCAGGGGCTGAAAAACTGCCAGGAGGGATGAATTTCCCCAGGAGTCAGTCAGGGCATGATGGATGAGAACCATGCTCTGAAAGAAGTCACTGAGTTGGGATCTCAGAAGCCTTGAATGCCAAGATAAGGCATTCAAGGGAAGGATGGGAGGTGTGGCCAGGCACCTGGTTGGGGGTTGGATCCGGTGTGGTCTCTTTCCCAGGCATGGAGGGCAGCCATGTCAGCCTCCTGGTTCAGTATAGTGCTTGTCCCAGTGGCCACCCATCAGGGACACTGGGATCAGAGAGAACGGTGGGGCTGGAGCACAGAGCAAGGGCCCTGGCTCCCTGGGACATGGAGAACAAACTGAAGACACATGATGGGTCCCCTGCTGAGGCCCAAAAATGGGGGAAAGGATAGTAGCTTCTGCGGGCCTGGCTCAGGCCAGATATTCTAGGGACGCCATTTTCCCCTGTAGGGCCCTCTGTGCCTACGTGGTACACAGGAACGTGACCTGCGTCCTACAGGAGGGAGCAGAGAGCTACGTAAAGGCTGAGTACCGGCAGTGTGGATGGGGGCCCAAGTGCCCTGGGACAGTCACGTGAGTGTACTCCCTTCCCACCTACTTGGGCTCCCTGGACACAAGCCCCAGCCCTGCCTTCAGCTGAGAGCAGCAGGCAACTCCATGAGGGGTGGTAGCCCCTGGGACTCCAAAGAACTCACCCAAGCCCCCACACAGGCCAGAGTGGACCAGGGCCCCCAAAGGAGGGAGCCAGGTAGGACCCCAGGGATTTGAACTTGGAGCAGAGCAGCTCCTGTGGAGACAGGGGCAGGCTTGGGTCGGAGCCCAGGAACCACAGAGGGACAAGGGGAAGGTTCCAGGGGAGAGGCAGTGCAAGGTGAGAAGGAAGTGACGGAGGCAGAGGGTGGGGGAGAATGTCACCCAGGCAGTGGGTGGTGCCAGAGAGGGGCCTGCGCAGACACAGGGAGGGCCGTGAGGAGGGGGCCAAAGGTGAGGGGGTGGGAGCCAGAGCGCCAGGGCTTCTGGTTGCATGTGAGGACGTGTGCGGTGGCACACGGATGTGATATGCATATCACATCTGTGCTTGGAGAGGTTCCCATGTGTGCCTGGACACAAACCTGGTTGCTCCAGGGTGCCAGTGGGTGAACAGCACGTGGCTGAGCAGGAGAGGGAGTGGCCCTGGTGCGCCCTGCCTGTATCTGGGCCTTCCTCTTTCTGCTCAAAATCAAAGGTACCCTTCCACCAGCTTCTGTGAGCTGGCAAGAGAGGAGTAGAAAGAGCGAAGGGGAGCTGATGGGAGCCAAGAGCGGCTCCTGGGGCAGTGAGAGGGGTGCCGGCCCCAGCTTTAGGGCAGCACCGCTCCCCACCCCTAGGGAAGGGGCTGGGGCTGAGCTCCCCAAGGTGCCATGGAAGCCTGAGTGGAATTTCTTGTGGCAGCATGAACTAAATGGGGTCCAGGTTGTCTTGGGAGTGTTGGAGCGAAATCCCTGCTGTTCCCCGAGCTGACAGGATAGGGTGGGGCTTCAACCTGCATCCTCCCCTAAGGTGGCTCTGAGCCCCAGGAAGGCTGCCCACACCACCACTGCCCTGTCACCTTCAGCACAGAAAACCCTGCAGGTGGTGTGAAGCTGGGGAGAGAGCCAGACCTTATGCAAGTGTCTGGGGGTGGCCAGGAATGCCAGCTAGGGGCGGGAGCTGCAGCCCACAGGTACAGGACCCTGCCCTCTTGCCCTCCCTGGCCCAGGTACCACACTGTGCTCAGACCCAAGTACAAGGTCGGATACAAGACAGTGACAGACCTCGCCTGGCGTTGCTGCCCTGGCCTCACTGGGGAACGCTGCCCTGAGCACCTTACGGACCACGAGGCCACCCCACCCCGGCTGCAGCCTGAGCCCCAGATTCCCTCGGGGCAGTTGGGCCCAGGCCTCAGGCCCCCTCCTTACAGCAGAGCAGCCCCCAGCCCTCACGGTGAGTCTGCCCATGGACACCTTCCAAGGTGATCAGGTTTCTTGGGCTCAGTGGTGGGGACAGGGAGGGGACTGACCCAGGCTGGCTGAGCTCTGGCAGGGATGGGGAGGGTGCATCTCACATTGGACATGAGGGTGAACCTCCAGCCCCCCCCCCCAACAAAGCTGAGGGAGGTAAGCTTAGAACAGAAAATCTCTTAGGTGGCCCAGCAACAGGACAAGCTGAGAGGGACTGGCCAGTGATGCCCCTGGGGTTCTCTTCTCTTTCCTAGGAAGGAAAGGTCCAGGGCTGTTTGGCAAGCGTCTGGAACGCCTGGAGGGTGATGTCCAGCGCCTGGCACAAACATATGGTACCCTCAGTGGTGTGGTGGCCAGCCAGGAGGACCCCAACAGGGTGAATGGTGGCCCCAGGGCTCCTTCTGCTCCTGTGGGCTTTGGGGTCATCCCTGAGGGGCTTGTGGATCCAGGAGAAAGACCCAGACTACCACCCACACCTCCCCTGGACGAGATCCTGACCAAGGTGACAGAGGTGAGCAACACGCTGCAGACCAAGGTGCAGCTGCTGGATGAGGTGCACGGGCTGGCACTGGGCCACGAGGCCCACCTGCAGCGGCTGAGGGAGGCCCCGCCATCCCCACTCACCTCCCTGGCACTGTTGGAGGAGTACGTGGACCGAAGGCTGCACCGCCTCTGGGGGAGCCTGCTGGACGGCTTCGAGCAGAAGCTGCAAGGCGTCCAGAGTGCGTGCGACCTGCGGGTGCAGGAGGTGCGGCAGCAGTGCGAGGAGGGCCAGGCAGCCAGCCGGAGGCTGCACCAGAGCCTCGATGGCCGGGAGCTGGCCCTGCGCCGGGAGCTCTCCCAGCTGGGCAGCCGGCTGCAGGGCCTGAGCATAGCAGGCAGGGGCAGCTGCTGCGGCCACCTGGCAGTGATCAGTGCCCGTGTGGATAGCCTTGAGAGGACCCTGCAGGCAGTCACTGAGACCCAAAGGGCCCCTGGAGGCCCGGCTGGGGATGAGCTCACACGACTCTCTGCCTCCATGCTCGAGGGAGGTGTGGACGGGCTACTCGAGGGCCTGGAGACATTCAATGGGACAGAGAGTGGAGTGAGGGGCTGCTGCCTGAGGATGGAAATGGAGGGCTGGGGGGTGGGCGGCTTCAGGACCATGCTGGAAGAGCGCATGCAGAGCCTGGAGGAGCGCCTGGCGACACTGGCTGGGGAGCTAAGCCAGGGCAGCGCTCCACCAGGCAGGTCAGCACGGCCCGTTGTGCAGACGGAGCTGGCCGTGCTGGAACAACGGCTGGTCTCGCTGGAGACCTCATGCATCCCCAGCACCACCTCAGCCATCCTGGACAACCTCGTGGCAGAGGTGAAGGGCTGGCAGAGCCGGAGCGAGGCCCTCCTACGCCAGGTGGCCAGCCATGCAGCTCTGCTCCAGCAGCTCAATGGCACCGTGGCCGAGGTCCAGGGGCAGCTGGCAGAAGGGACGGGCAGCTCACTCCAAGGTGAGATCACTCTGCTCAAGGTCAACCTGAACTCAGTGAGCAGGTCGCTCACGGGCCTCAGTGACTCTGTCAGCCAGTACTCTGATGCCTTCTCAGCCGCCAACACGTCCCTGGATGAGCGAGAACGCAAGGTGGAAGCCGAAGTCCACGCCATCCAGGAGGAGGTCAGCAGCCAAGGCTCCAGGCTCTGGGCTGGCCACAGGCAGGTCCTGAACCTGCGGGGTGAGCTGGAACAACTCAAGGCTGGCGTGGCCAAGGTGGCCGGCGGGCTCAGCCGCTGCCAGGACACAGCCCAGGAACTCCAGCACGCAGTGGGCCACTTTGACCAGCGGGTGGCACAAGTGGAGGGCGCCTGCAGGAGGCTGGGCGAGCTGGCGGCAGGCCTTGACAGCTGGCCCAGGGAGGGCCTGTGGGGCCACATGGACCAGCTGAATCGCACACTGGCCCAGCACACACAGGACATTGCCCGCCTCCGAGACGACCTGCTGGACTGCCGGGCCCAGCTGGCTGAGCAGGCACGGTCGGGGCGAGCCGACTAGGGAGGCTGGTGGGGATTGAAGCCCCAGATCCCACGACCCAGGGAACATCACCCAGCCATCTCCACATGGCTGTTCCAGCCACCAAAATCCATGTTCGGTGCTGCACAAACTGGACAATTCAGGAGAGTGGTCAAGGCAGGGACATCATGCCTAAAGGCCACAGTGGACTTAAGAGCCCGCACACGTCACTGTCTGCAAACCAGAGTCAGCAACTGTGCAAAGACCTCCAGGCCTGTTCTCAGGGGCCCGGCCATACTGCCCTTTGCCCGTGAGCGACCATCTGCAGCCCCTGAAGGCTTCTCTCCCCAGCTGTCTGGGCTGGGTTTCTGTAGGACGGTGATGCCCGCTAGAACTGCCCTCACACCTGCCAGCTTCCCGGATACTGTTTCTAAACCATGAACCAGAGGCTGCCAGATGTTTCCAGCTCCCCACATGCCCTTCAGGACAGAAGCACACGGACTCACCGAGAGTTCTCTTTATTCCCTTTCATCCCCCCTAAGGTGAGGGCTTAGGCAGCTGTAGAATCCCAGAGGAAGGAATTGGATCTAGGCGATCTGTTTAGAGAACCCACACCATTTTCTTCTCTTCCTTCCCCAACAATGTTTCCAGGGCCTTCTGGTGCCCACACAGCCTTCTTCCTTCCAGATCAGGGCCTCTCTCCAGAGGGTGGCCCTAGTGTCTGTCAGGGCCTGAATAAGGCCAGACCCTGACAAGGAGCCCAGAGCTGGAGGGAAAGTGGTCCAGACCTTGCTTTTAACACCCTTGCAAAACCCCAGCCCTGCCAGGATATTCACGAAAGGTAAGAAATTCAGGTATGAAATCAAGAGAAAACTTGAAAACGCGAGTGTTCCTCAGGCCTGCGCAGCTCACAGAGACTCTGATGGCCAACTCTGCTGGGACTCCCGGCCTCAGTTTCCCCCAGGGCAGCACGGGCCCTGTGGTGCTGGTCTGTAGGGCCCATAGCCCTGCCTTCTGCTTTCCGGACATTGGGTTTTCTGCCCTCCACATGGTGCTGCTGGAGGAAGGCAGGCTCTGGATTAAAGCTTTTAGCCAGTGTAAACGAACCTTCTTCACCAAAGGCAGCGGGAGGGAAGGCTGTAGGGGCATCACCCACTCCCCACAGCTCCCCAGGCAAGAGCTCGGGCAGCAGCCATGAGCACTGAGTGGACCAGCTGAGGCTGGGGAGGCCGAGATAGGGCCCAGTCCGCAGGGGAGGTGCTGGGTTGGGGGCTAAGCTGAGCAGAGCCACACTCCCCCAGCCCTCACTTGGCCCCAAATCCCCCTTCCCTGATGTTGGCAGGGGCTGGGGCACCCAGACATGAGTGCGTATCTTGTGCTGAGATCCCAGGGCACCAGCGGGCAGATGCTCCAGCAGAGATGTCTGGCTCTGTGGGGGGTGGGGTGCAGTCTGGCTCCCAGCAAAGGAGCAGGGGAGCACCGTGTTCTTTCTAGATGCTGCTCAGCTAAGCCCCACTGCCACCACCAACGCTGCCCTGTGCATATGGGCTTCATGCCTCAGTCAGGCCTCCCTCTCCTCTCTGTCTCATCAGGAGTGGAGGTAAGGTCCCAGGTTGACAGGGACAGAGCTATAAATTGCATGGAAAACCCTGAAAGGGCCCAGATGACAAACATGTCATTGCTCCAGGCCAAGGCCACACTGAGGCCCTGGAGTAGCTGCAGCTCAGCTGGCAGACAGGAGACAGGACAGGGAGGATGGAAGCTCTATGGCTACCTATCAACCTGCAGCCCCTTCCTCCCCTTCAGTGGGTGGTCCCCCTAGCACCCAGCTTCCAACTCCCAGTACCCCAGGACACCTCGTCAGTCCTGGGCCAGGCCAGGGGGAGGGGGCAGCCAGGGCAGGTTCAGTCCAGCATGTCAAGGTCCACCGCTGGCAGTGGCTCCCGCCAGTAGCTGAAGTGGCTGTATTCAGGGTGGGCCAGGTCTGTGCTTGGGCCACGGGCCACAGGAGGGAAGAGGAGCTCAACCACCTCACCAAGCCGCTCGTACCTGTGGGCAGACAGGGCTGGCTCTCAGCCTGAGCTGCCACCAGACCACGGCCTCCACCACGTCAGGTGGGGGGGGGGTGTATATCCTGCCCAGGAGCCCTGGCCAAGGGACAGACTCACTGGTGGGGAGGTAAAATTGGGGCCCAGGGAGAGGCCAAGACAGGGGACGTAGCAGGGCATGGGGGCATGTGGCAGGGCGTGGCCTCACGTGGATTTGTGGTTCTTCATGAGCTCCTGGATGAGCTCTCCCCGGGGGTTGACCGTGAAGATTCGAGACTCAGGTAGGCCCACCTGCCGGTAGGCAAAGACATCCTGCGGGACATGAAGGAGCACGTGGAACAGAGGCCCACTGGGGGGGGGGGCGGCTCAGCCCAAGGGCAGGGACACACTCACATTGGGCCTGTTCCCGAAGGCAGCGTAGAAGGGCTGTCTGTGGGGCAGAAACAGCTGCTGGATGTCACTCAGGCAGGCGATCTTGAACACCTCCGGCTTCTTCTCAATCACTTCTCTGGGGCGACCAAGGAGGGGAAGAAACCAGAGGGGATGGCAAGCTCAGTTGATGTGGGTATGGGGTTTGACCTCGTCACCAGCTGCCTCTTGGGTGCTAATGCTGGCTTGGTCTGGGATGGTGACAGCCCTCCCCACCACCCAAGGGGCCGTGGGCTTGTGTTGTGGAGGGGTGGTTACCTGTGGAGGGCAGAGAAGAGGCTGGTGGGAGACAGCAGGATGGGGCCCTTGGGGAGGCCACAGCCCCGCTCGCTCACCCACTGCAGGTACCCCTTGGTGAGGTCAGCCATGCCGATGGCCCGGGCGGAGCAGTATAGGAACTTGTACCCATTTCTGGGGATGAGAGACAGGGCGGCACAGAACCATCAGAGACCAGCCATCTCCCATCTGCCCCGTTGGCTTCAGCCTGCCCGGCCCACCTCTGGGGCTTCAAACCTTTGCAAGGAGAAGACTTAGGAAAATGGCTAGGCCAGGTCTAGCAGAGGTGGCCTTGGCAGCTGTCCAGCTAGAAGGAGCATGGACAGAGCCTTGAGGGGGGAGGATGGCCTCCCCTCCAGCCTGAGGCCTGAAGCTGGAGCCTGATTCTGGAACACAGCCCCAGGACGTGTGTTTCCACAGAACCGAGGGCCAGTAGGGAGGTCTCAGCACTGCAGGGATCTGCCCAGGCTGCTTCCTTTGTGGGTCCCTACTGGTCCCCAAGGTGTCCTGTCCCATCACTCCCTCTCTCCAGCTGGGCGTCCTGCCTCAGCCCAGGCACTCACAGGTGGATTTTGTGGTAGAGACTGGTGATGCCCTGGTGTGTCCAGTCTTTCCCCAGCTGGGGCAGAATGTGGCCCAGAGCATCCGACCTAGAGCCAGAGAGGAAGGGTCACTCAGGCAGGTGGTCCATGGGGAAGGCAGGGCCTCTCTTATGGTCCCCCCCCCCACTCCCAGCATGGAGGGAGGCGAGTCCCAGGCCCGCCCGCCCTTGCTGTGGCCAGCTGGGCCTCACTTGGTGATGGTGCCGTCGATGTCAGAGATGACCACCTTGTCGTCCCATTTCCACAGGTAGATGGTGGCCTTGCAGCGGCAGGTGCCCTGGTACTGGGTGGTCACACTGAAGACCACATCATTGGCACCTTCTTGCAGGTTCAGGCACCGCTAGGGCCAGGCAAAGAGGGTCGTTGCAACTGCAGCCAGGCACCATCCACACTGTGGCCTTTCACCCCCACAGGCCTCTCACTCTCCTGGTCCCCCCAGCTCAGAGACCCTTCCTGAAGCCATCAGGGACAGCCACGTCCGGCCAGAGGGTGGCCATGCAGGTCAGGGCCCTGCACAGTGCTGGCCAGGGGACTCCTGGCCTCTCTGCACCCCACTTTGAGATGAAACTCAGACGAAGCCAGGCCTGTGACTCCCTGCTCAGGTTTCTCATGGAAGGACACCCCACTCCACAGATGGGGGCTTTGTGGCTAGGGTAGCCAACTCACATTCCCCTAGAGAGAGACCCAGCCCTGCATGTGGTCCACAGAGGATTGGGGCAGCCCTGCACCAAAGCCCTGAGCTGTGTGTGAGCCCCAGGATGCCAGACAGGTGGCACTGCTCTGCACCGGGCTGGGCAGACCCTCCTGGACACCTCCCTGACCAGGGAGCCACAGGCAGGTAGAAAACATGCTCTCATTACAGGAGCCGCCAGTGACTGAGCTTAGAGAAAACATGACTGAGGGTCTGGGCTTGCCAAAATCTGAGGGGCCGTCATCAGCATTTGATTCCTTTAGTGTGGCTTCTAAGGGCAGACCAGGAGCCAGCTGGGTCACTGCAGGTAGCTGTCTCAGGAAGATCTATGAGAGGGCTTCTCCAGTTAGGACATCCGACAGATAAGTGGGCTGGCATGTGAGGAAGTGAGCCCCCTGCTCCTGGAGGCATTCAAAAAGAGGCCATCGGGGAGGGTGCCAAGGGGGTGGATTCTGGCCTTTGGTGAACACGTGGAGCCTTTCCCAGCCAGCCCTGAGGGTCTCTGGGACAGGATTAGCTCAGCACCCCTTACGTACACATGCATGCACATGTGCACACGCTTACGATCTGATCGGAGGAGAGGCGGAGGGACTTCTTGTAGGCAGGAGTGTAGGCTGGTGTCGAAGGTGGCGAGGAGGGGGCCTCGAGGATCACGGGGCTGTCTGGGCCATCATCATCGCTGCTCAGGACTTCGGTCTTCTCCCTGTGGGCGGTGCTGGCTCTCAGGCCGCCTTCCCCGGCCCAAGGTCCTTCACTCCCAGTGGTTGCTCACCTTGGCCCAGGCCATGGGGGCCTGTCCCTGTCACTCCAGAGGCTGCCCAGGGTATCAGCGAGCCCTCCCTCTAAGTGCCTCTCACGTAGGGTGGTGGCAGACACAGGGGTGCTGCCTGGCAGTCTCCAACCAGCCCGGTGACAGCAGAGGGGGCCCAGACCAGGGCTGCCAGCCCTCAGTGCCTGCCTTGGAGATGTTTTCCTGAAAGCGCACCTCGGGCCTTACTCCAGTGCCATCCTTGGCCACCCTCTCCCCCCCAACCTTGTGCGTCTGGGTCACTTCACAGGTGAAAAAGAGAAGTCAAGTCAGCAGCCCCTGTGGGCTTGGGGAGAGAGGTCCACCCTAATAGGTAGACCCTAGTCTGGGCCAGGAGTCTGAGCACCTGTTCCAGCTCTGCCATCTGCTGGCTGAGGGACATTTGGTGTGTCTCTAGGTCTCAGTTCTCCCTCTCTGAAATGGGGGCATTTCTCAGGAGAAAGAAGGGGTGTGTGTAGAAGCATTTGGGGAGTGACTGAGAACCATGGTTGGGGACTTGGTGCTGGCTCCACCTGGCCCTCAGGGCAGCTTCCCCAGCCAGGGGTCCCAC